ACACACACACACGCACACACACACTCGCACACACACACTCGCACACACTCAGACGCACACACACACACTCAGACACACACACTCAGACACACACACACAGCTGGAGGAGCCAGAACCTTCCAGCCGGGAACGTCCTTCATGATCACAGCCTCCTCCTCCAGATTCTCCCGCAGCATCCGCAGCGTCCTGCAGAGAAACACAGAAAGTCTCATCACAACCACAGACACCAAAACTATCACAGTACTGTTCAAATGTGCAGGAGATCTTCAAAAACTACCGACACATAAATCACTTCACCCAGTTTTATATCTAAAATCAACAAACAACAAATAAAATGACTTTTTGTTTGCATAAACACTAAAGCAACAGCATGATTTCAAACGACATCATGACATCAACAGTTCATCTGATAACATGTAGGAAATGCTCAAATAAAGCTTTGAAAAGCTTCATAAAATAACAAACCTCACATTTCAGCCTTTAAATAAAGAAAAGGGTAAAGTCTAGTGCTGTCAAACAATTAATCACATCTAAAATAAGTTTTTGTTTGTATAGTATATGTGTGCGCTCTGTGTATATATAAATACACACCTATGCGTCTATATATTTAAGAAAAATATGTTATGTTTATATATAATATGAATTATTTGAATATAAATGCATGTAAATGTTTTCAAAATATATACTGTATGTATGTGTGCGTATTTATATACACATAACAAATATACACAGAACACACACATATATGATGTAAACAAAAAGCTATCGCTATTAATTGTTTGAAAACAAGACAGAAGCACTGAGGAAGATATTCATGTTTGTGTGACCCTGGAGCACAAAACCACAAAAAAGGAAAAAAAAATTGGAAATCGAGATTTATACATCTAAGCTGAATAAATCATCTTTCCATTGATGTATGGTTTGTTAGGATAGGACAATATTTGAAAATCTGGAATCTGAGGGTGCAAAAAAATCTAAATATTGAGAAAATCATCTTTAAAGTTGTTCAAATGAAGTTCTTAGCAATGCATATTACTAATCAAACATTAAGTTTTGATATATTTACGGTAGGAGATTTACTAAATATCTTCATGGAACATGATCTTTACTTAATATCCTAATGATTTTTGGCATAAAAGAGAAATGTATAATTTTGAGCCGTACACTGTTTGTGCTGCAGGGTCACATATAATGCCATGACTTTCTGAATTTAGACTTTAGACTTGATCTGTTGCTCACCGGCGGTCGTGCTCGGCCTGCAGCAGCGGCAGTAAAGAGATGCGCGCCTCCAGCTCCTCGATGTGCAGCCGTCTGTCGGAGGAAGAGCAGAAGCTCTGGTCAGGACTCTCAGACTCGTCTCAGACACTCAGTGTGACGCTCGCTCACCTGCGCTCGCGGTTCCAGCGGAAGAGCCTCCAGTACCCGAACACCATGAGCCCCACGCCCACGCCGAACATACTGTACCCTGAGGACCACACACCGGACAACCAGCGGTGCATGAGTGACGAAACAACCAGCCTTCATCTCACAGCTGCTGCTGCCAAACCATTCCTCACATACTATATGTGTGTGTGTGTGTGTGTACTGGGTATATTTATTATGCATGTATAAATACACACACACACACACATGTATACATTAAGGAAAATATGTTAAGATTTATATACAAAATATTTATATTTATATATAAATATGAATCTGTGTGTGTGAGAGAGTGTGTGTGTGTGTGTGTGTGTGTGTGTGTGTGTGTGTGGTGAACCCCGCACTGATCAGCGCGTGAACGCACGTACCGGACAGGCCTCGTCTCGGCAGGTTTCTCCGGTAATCTACGGGCCCGTATCCTCCGGTGGGAGGCATGTCCTGCTTCACCTTGGATGCCGCCATCGTTCCGTCCAGCAGCTCCGCTCGCGTCTTCTTCGGCTGCGGCGAGTGCGGATCCGTGCTGCTCTCCGGCGCCTCCAGCGGATCAGCGCAGCAGGGTTCTTCTTCTTCTTTTAAATGTAATGGCTGTTGGCAAACCAACTGAA